TAGTAATATGTCACCTTCAGTAAGTGTTTGGTAGTAAATAAATAGAAATATAATGAGCCATGATGACAGTTTTTTCAAAGATTGCAACCCTTTTTCAGAAAACAGGGCATGAAACTGGGAGGATGTGTGGCGCTCAGCAACTAAAGATTGGAAGAGCAGGGAAAGAGTTGGAGCCACCTCCTGTAGATAATGGAGTTATTAGAGGTTTTTTAAAAAAAAAATTTATTTTATGCATACAGAACTAGGGTACAGGCCAGAGGTACAGGGGGAGTGAGAGGATTCACAGGAACAGAGTGGGGAGCAGAACAAGCCAGCTGACAAAGTACAGTGCTGAGGGGAGCAGCGGGCGTGTCAGGCCAGGTCACCTCCTGGGCAGGCGGGGATTGAACTCATGCGGAAGTGGCTTTAACTTCTTAGTGCTATGCTTTAACCCACTGCGCCACCAGGGAGGGCCCTATTAGAGGTCTTTTGAGCAAAAGAGGGAACCAGGTACAAGATAGAACTTTATCTGGCTTTTGTCTGGCTTCTTTCACTTAGGCCATACAGGCCTCCTGTCCTTCTAGAACCCTCTGGATTTGTCTCCACTCAGGGACCTCTGCACTTATTATCTTTGTTTGGAATGCTTTTTTTCTAAACTCTTCACAAGGCTGCATTTTTTTCTTCCTTCATTCAAAGGTCAATTCAAACTTCTCAGAAATCCTTTTCCTGACTATACACCCATCCCCAGCCCAGTCATTCTTAATGTTTGAGTGTGTGTGTTTATTTTTGTTCACAGTATTTCTTGTGCTCTGAAAGTAACTTCTTTTATTTATTTTTTTGTTTGTTTCCTTGACTGTTATCTCCCACAAGTGTAAGCTCCCTAAAGGTAAGGAACTTTTTTCCTCTTACTCCTCACTTCTTGGAATAGTATACACAGGTTGTTTCTCTATATTGTTTGAATGAATACATTAAATTATAGGATGGATTGTGAAGGGCTCACAAGAGGGTAGTGTAAAAAAATACTAAGGTAGGAAGACTAAGAGAAAACAATAGTTCAGCCCTGAGTGGAGGAGGGAAGTGGGTGAGTATTGGTAACGGAGAGAAAGAACTCCTGAACAAACTCCACAAACAGATTTTATAACCCACCTTCCACTCCAGGTCAAAGTGATCCAAGATACCAAGGATTACAAATCCCACAATATCATCACTGCTGAAGGGAGACTTGCTGGAAACTAAGGGTAAAATTAAACAGCCAGGTTTGGTATATAACCAGAGTCTTGGGAGACCTTGGTTTTGTACAGGTTTTCAGCATGCTATTAGGGCCCAGCTCGGAGGAACTGGACACAGTCACCAATTTCTCTTTCTCCCTGAATTATTCCTTATTTCATTTCCCCTTAATGTAAATAAACTCTTTATTAGCCTTTTTGTGTGTGCCTACAGTTGAGCCTTATTTTAAGTATCTTTCAAGCATGTGGGTGAGGACCCACAGTCAGGCCAATCCATTTCACATTGGGGTTGCTCTGTAACATTGGGAGGATGGAAATCAAAAGACTGCTACAGAAGAAGTAGCTGCCCAGAAAAAGGAGACTCTTGTGTTTAAATGCCTGGGAGAACCATGGGACCAGTAATAGCAATGAGATGTCCAGGTAGGTAGAAGTTAGTTTTGTTTTGTTCTATCTTTATTAGAAATTCTGTTTTGTTTGTTTTTTTAAAGATTCATTCATTTTTGCATACAGAACTGGGGTACAGGCCAGAGGCTCAGGGCGGTGAGAGGCTTCACCAGAGACATAGTGGGGAGCAGAACAGGCAAATCTACTGAAATACACTGCTGAGGGGAGCAGCGGGCAGGTTAGGAGAGGTCTGCCACGCCATGTGGTCACCTCCCGGGCAGGTGGGAATCGAACTCATGCAGAAGTGGCTTTAGCTTCTCAGTGCTGTGCTTTAACCGGCTGCGCCACCAGGGAGGGCCAGAAATTCGGTATTTTTTAAATCACATTATAAAAAGAATCATTTCAATGAGAACAGAGAGGTTTAGTCAATGAGAAATGTTCATTAATAAGAACCCTCCCTGGTGGCACAACCAGGATTAGAGTGCTGCACTGCAAGCTAGCTGCAGCTGCTTCAGTGTGAGTTCAATCCCGGGGCCCGGAAGTGATCCACATGGCATGGGCAGACATCTCCTGATCCACCTGCTGCTCCCCTCAGCTGTGTACTTTGTCACTTTGCCTGTTCTGCTCCCCTCTGTTTCTGGTGAATCTTTTCACCACCCCTGCACCTCTGGCCTGTACCCCAGTTCTGTATGTATAAATAAATCTTAAAAAAAAACCACTAAAATTTTAAAAAATTTTCGTTAATTGAACTTTTTTTGTTGTTTCTTTTAACACTTTAGGGGTTAATCTGAGAATTATAATAACCACTGTTTATTTAGGGCTTTCTCCATCTTAAGCATTGTTCTAAACAATTACAGATTTTATTTTATTTAATTCTCAAAGCACCCCACTATATTAGGGTTTCTTATTATTTCCATTTTATATAGAAAGAAACTGAGGCACAGGGAGGTCAAATAACTAGCATACATCCCACAACTAGTATGTGGCACAGAGGAGTTTATTAAACCCAAGAGAATACTGCTAATGCCATGCCTATGAACATTACATTAGTCAAAAATAATGGTATTTTTATAACTGTTAGTGTATTTGTTATAGCAACATAAAACTTAACTGACTAAAGCAAATCAGACCAAACTTGAAAATCACTGATCAAGTCATGAACGCATAAAGTCAGAAAAGAACCAGTAATATCCTAGACCAAAATTGAAAAGTACATGATAAAAACACACAGAAATGAACCAACACTTGAAGCAAAGGTCACAAAGATCGAGAAAGAAACAGCACAATGGAGCTGCTGTTGGTCAGCCAAGGCTTCTGGACAATCCCCAGCAGGCAGGAGGACGCGCTCCTCCTATGTGCAGGTCCAGGCACAAGCCCACTCTAAACAATAGCATTCTCCTGATTCAAAGATGCCCCCAATTAATCTTCCCTACTTGAGCTAAATGACATTAGAGGAACTCACATTACAAAGACAGATATGGGCTCTCCCTGGTGGCACAACAGGTTAAAGCACTGCATTATGACACTCTCAGAAGCCACTGCAGCACAAGCTCAATCCCCCGCCAGGGAGCTGACCCACATGGCGCGGCAGACCTCTTCTGACCCGCCTGCTGCTCCCCTCAGCAATGTATTATATTAATCTGCCTGACCTGCTCCCCACTCTTGTCTCTGGTGCATCCACTCACCTCTGGCCTGTACCCCAGTTCTGTAAGCATATGTAAATAAATCTTTTTTAAAAAATGAAAAAACAAAGACAGATGCTTGTATTTCAGACATGCTGAACTTGGTATGAAAGTAAGATATGACCTTGAAGTTCAGCCAGTTGTGGTACAGATTAAGGTGGGTTGATTGATATAGATATGCTTTACCTCTTACATGTTCAAAATAAGCTAATGCTTTGAATTTACCATATCCAGTTTTTCCCCTTGAAACCAGCCTCTCCTTTCAACAAGTGGGCACCCACAAGTAGAGCAGATCTCCCCCAGGAAACAGTCTCACCCCAGAGCAAGGAGGTACCCATTCACTTTCAGTCTTGAGTGCACCGCCTAAATAGGATGTTTGCTGGGGTGACACTTCAGGAATGATGACCCCACTGCTCTGTCCTGTTCACGTGCTAACAGGATGGCAGCAGTTCTACTTTCAGAAGAAGTTAGAGAGAGTCCCTGGAGCTCTTCCTTGACAGATCTGCATGCAACTGAGGGGTAGATGGTCTGCTTGACACTCACCCTCTTGCTCCTTTGGTAGTTTCTCTTAGACCTAGTCCTGGGTGGACTCAATGCCAGAGGCCCTATGACTCATATAGGGAGAAGTAACCCTTTGCAGGGATGACTCTAAGTACTTTCTCCAGGTAAAAAAGAAGTAGCTAAGTTCATCGCATCCTCCCATGGAGAAAGGAGTCCCAGATTTTGCCCCCAAGGCTTTTACTTCAGGTTTCCAATTAAACGTCTTTCCTTGGAAGTGGCCCTTTTTTCAGTTATCATGTGCTGGTTGCCCTGACTGTGGCTCCATTTGCTATAACGTCTCTCTGGAACACTGTCCTGGGGCAACTGTAAGGGCAGGTTGAACTTTCTGGAGCCCTGAGGCCATGAAACTAGAGCGTCTGTGCTCCTTGCTTTCTGGGCAAAGAGAGACAGCCTGTTCAGGTCCAAGAACACAGAGGCCTGAATTAACCCTCAATGTAACTGTCTCTAGGTTGTAAGAAGGTGCTGATAATGAGTCCAACTTTGGGCAGAGGAACTTGCAAAGACTGTCCCCCAGGGAACAAGGACCACCCTACCCATTAGCGTAAGTGATTATACTGAATGAAAAGACTTAATGTAACATAAGAAAGATTTGTACAACTGTTCTTACTGGTTTATTTCACCATCACTAGTAACAGGTCTTCTGTGCTGTGGCAAAAATACATGAAAAGAATCACAGTGATTAATGTAACAACAAAATAAATAAGTATATATTCCATTCTTTCTTTTTGAAACAAATCCCTCAATCTTACTTTAAAACCAGTGCCAGAGGGATCACGTTTTGGTAAAAGCTGTCTTAGTGAGGTAGAAATCCCCCTCAAGATGTCTAAATTGTTTCAAGAGGTAACAGTCTATAACGTAAACTTGTCTTCCTTCATACCTCCTATCACCCATCTACCTCTATCTAGACATTGAATATGTACAATATATAGGAGCAGGAACATAGTCTGCAGAGTCCCCAGCTGATGGGGGCTCTGCTACCTCCTGCCAAATTACAGCTGGGAAACTAAAATACTTCTCATCATTCAGTCAATGGGCAAATTTAACCCTCCCCCCTTACATCCACATCTATGAGCAATACACATAACAAGCATCAATCCACAACCTTGGTAAAAAGAAAAGGTTCCATTGTGTTCCCTTCTATTGTTGTTCCCAGTGCTTCCTCACTCACCTGTCGATGGCGATGGCCAGCAAGGCATTGGTGGAGACATAGAGAGAGACAGTACGCAGGTAGTTGATGGAGGCACACAGCACATGGCCATGCTCCCAGGAGAGCTGGCGCACCACATAGTAATCCATCTCAAAGGGGCAGCAGACAATGGCCACCAGGAAATCAGAGATGGCCAGGTTGGCAATAAGCAGGTTGGTGAGGTTGCGCAATTTTTTGTATCGAGCCAGCGCAGCGATGAAGATGAAGTTGCCAATGCCACAGACTAGCATGATGCCCACCAGGGCCACACCAATGACAATCTTGGCAGCAAAAAATGTCCTAGAGTTGGTCACATCTTCATCTTCACCCAAAGGCATATCATAGTCACCATAGCTAAGGTTAAGTGGGAAGGAGGCAGCTTGGGCTTCGTGGGCGTGGAACACAGAAAGGAGGTGGCTGGTGTTGGTGGCATTCTCATCCAAAAGCTCCATGGTGATCTCCATCCCATCAGATGGTGTGTGAACAGTGCTGCTAGGAATTCCTCTGGATGACGTCTAAGATTCTGAAGTCTCCCCTCTGCTGACCTCAGCTCTCCCTTAATGCGTCAGAGCATCAACCTTAATGACAGCAGACTCAGGGTACAGTATTCAAGCTTCTCCTAAGCCTTTGAAAAATATACAAAGAGTTCGCTGTATATGTGACTGAACCTGACAGATATAAAACTATCCTGTAAATCTAAGTGGACTCATTAGCCACCTGCCCAAAATGAACAGAAAGTGGTGGAGAGTAAATATATAAATTAAAACTGCAGGTAGTTGATGGAGGCACACAGCACTCACCTGCTCATTCAGGAATGGGTGGATTGCTACAGCGACCACCAGACACTGGCTCGATTTATTTCTGTTCCATCAAAAACTAAGAAGTCTCACTTTTCCTCTGGGGCCAGAATTAGGGGAAGGCGGATGGCGCTGAAGAAAATGGAGGTGATTTGATCGAAACTCTATTCACTATTCCAGCAGCCTGAACTTTGTCTTTGTGTAAAGGTTTCATTCTGTGGCTTAAAAGAAATTATTCTGAATCCCATCAAAAAAAGAGGAAGACTTGGAAACATCCCTGCCTGCTCTTTGTGAGCTGGTCTTCCTTCTACATAAACACTGTTGTAAAACCACAACATCCATCTAGCAGCTGCCATTCCCTCTGCTCACTGGGTTTTCTGCTCCCACATTAAAATTGGCTGTGAACCTAGAAGACAGGCACAGCATTTCCCAAGGTCTGTTCGAGGCAGAGGCCTCAAGTTTGAAGTCACAGCCTGATCACTGCGTGTCTTAGAAGAAAGGGGACTCAGTAGCAAAATGCTTCCTTGGTTAGTTGTATCCAGAGGCAAATAGCTTAAACACTCAGAGTTTCAGCATCCTCTAGGTAGGAGATCAATAATGTCTGTAAAGCAAGATGCTCCCTGGAGAGACAGAGTGTTAAACCCTAGAACTGCAAGAATTACTATTTCCTCAGATCTTCTCAGGGGCTGCAGGGAAGGGGAGGGAGATGGAGACTCCGATTCCTCTGTCACACCACTTAATGGTACTGAGGGGAAGGAAAGAAGGTAATTTGGCCAAGAACCAAGATGAAAGCAGAGACCCCAGCCCCCTACCTATTGCAGTCCCTCCTGTCCCAGAGTACAAAAATATCAAGCCAGATTGCTGGAATGTAAGAATAGAGCTGGGATCTGGAGAGAACTGTAAATGCCAGGAAAACTGGGGAGGGAAAGGAAGTAAAGAAGGAAACTTGAAGTTCCTAGGAAAGGAAGCCCCCTTCCTCAAAGGTGAGACATGTGTCTCAGGGGAGCCAGGTTTAAAGAGTTCCTGCAGCCCAGTGAGACTCAGTCCCATATTTTTCTCTCTCTCTCTCTCCTCTCAGATTTATCCCCCTGACTCTGAGCCATCAGTTTTCTACCTCTCTGGGTGACTCTGTCAGGTTTGAGAGCAGATCTCAGAGCTGAAAGGAAAATGATCAGGTTTGGCACCCAGGCAGGTACAGATGCACTTGGGTGGGATATTGGCACTCCTTGCAGACCCAAGTAGTTCAGAGGCATGCCACTTCTGGAGAGTCCCCCATCCCCAACTCACACACACATACACACACACACACACACACACACACAAGCAAGCAAGCAAGCTACCTGGAAGGCACATAGTCGGGTGTTTTAAACAAAAAGAAATGAAAAGTAATCAGGGGTGGGAGAGAAGGGGTTGCAGCAAATTTAGGACTAGGAAGAAATTATTCAGCCATCATGTCTCCTGTATTCTTATTCTTCAAAGAGGAATCTCAGCCCACCTGGTGTCCTGGGAGCTCTAGCCTTTAGTGTTTGCGCTACTGGCCAGACCCAAGCCACCCCTGCAAACCTCTCTTTGCATCCTCTGCTGATGATCTCTCTCCTACTCCCAACTTTGCCCTCCAAACATAGGAGGTTAAGGCCAGAAGGAGGGCAGCCTGGTCCACTTAATAAATGAACATGCCTACGGTATCCTGAAATCCTTTGCCTTCCCTAAAGCCCCCTCATCCAGAAGCCTGGGAGCCTCACCCCCACCCTGTTCCAGGGCGCCCTCAGTACCTGCGGTGTTTCTGGCCGGATGATCTCAGTGTCTTTATTCAAGCCTGGGTATAGGACGCGCTTCTCCCAGAGGCCGCCAGGGAGAGGACAGGTCCCCTTTTTTCTTCCTCTTTTTCTCTGGGCTCTTTCCCGCCTCGGGCAGCAGTTGCGGTCTTACCGCCGCCGCACACGGGTAGAACCGTGGCTAGGCGGCGAGCCACCCCTGTCCGGGTCGGTCCCGCGCTCGCAATCCCTGTCCGGATGGCCGCAGGGCGCCCAAGGAACCGGCGGCTGGCTCCGGGAGGCGTGTTCTGCGGGTCTGCGAGGCTCCGGGACGCACCACTGCTCCTGCTCGAAGCGAGGGTGCGTCCTGGTAGCCTGGGCAAGCGCGCGGCTGGGGACCCCGGAGTCACTCCCTGGCCGGAGTGTCAGGTTTGCAGAGGCGGCAGCTCGCTCTTTGGAGTGAGTAGGGCCAGGCTGGCGGTGCGCGTACCCCAGACTCAGACTCAGAAACGGTCTCCTCGGGCAGGAACCAGGGTGCTTGCGCTCGGAGCTGGACGCATCGCAGAGCCGGCGCTAGAGGTATCTATTTCAGCAAGGCTGTGCCTGCCGCAGGGCACTGGACTTCTCCGCCGGCTCAACCTGATTAGCCCCGGCACCACCGCCAGAGTGGGCGGACACGGCCGCTTAGCTGGTGAGATTTCAAAGAGCTAGCAGAAGCCTCGCCTCCGACTCTAAAGACCGCCCTCACCGCCCTCGCTGGGACCCACTCAAACCTGATTCCTTCCCTCAAGTCCAACTGGACACCGGATCAGCTTCATTGTCAGCTGTTTGTACCTCTGTAAAAGAGACTCAGAGAACTGCTTTCCAGAAAGCAGTGAAGTGGAAAAGGGAGAACAATATGTGGATGCCCTAGAGAAAAAGAGCTACACTCCCTTCCATTATCTGTTCCAGAAGGGGCTAGGATGGCCAGTGCTAAGTGACAGAGCACTGGTGGCTTTCAAAACTCCATATAGATTCACCAAAAGTTAAATATTAAATTACTCTTTGACCCAGAGATTCCACATCCAATGAAATTTGAAAGCAGGGACTCAGGTCCTTTTACAGCAATGTTTATAGCAGCATCACTCAATAGCCAAGAGGTGGGGGAAACCTAAAATGTTCATTTGGATCTTTTCAATGTAGCATATACATACAGTCGACTATTTTTCATCTTTTAAAGGAATGATGTATAACTGGTATTGGTAGAATGTGGAGAAATTAGAATCTGTGGACTGTTGTGGGGAATGTAAAATGATATAGTCACAGTGGAAAACAGTATGACAATTCCTTTAAAAAATTGAAAAATAGGCCCTCCCTGGTGGCGCAGCGGGTTAAAGCGCAGCATTAAGAAGCTAAAAACCACTTCTGCATTGAGTTCAATCCCCGCCTGCCCCGAAGGTGACCACATGGCATGGCAGACCTCTCCTGACCCGCCCGCTGCTCCCCTCAGCAGTGTACTTCGTCGATCTGCCTGTTCTGCTCCCCACTCTGTCTCTGGTGAAGCCTCTCACCGCGCCTGAGCCTCTGGCCTGTACCCCAGTTCTGTATGTACAAATAAATAAATCTTTAAAAAAAATTGAAAAATAGACTTACCAAATAATCCAGCAATTTCACTTCTGGATATATACCCAAAAGAACTGAAAGCAGTGACTCTAAGAGATATTTCTTAACACCCATGTTCACAGCAGTATTATTCACAATAGCCAAAAAGTGAAAGCAATCCATTTGTTCATTGGCAGATACATGGATAAACAAAATGTGCTACACACATAATATGAACTATTATCCATCTTTAAAAGTATATACAATGAAATTTGAAATATGTCACCAATTTCTGACATATACTATGATATGTATGAACTTTGGAGACAGTAAAATACACTAATGACCAAAAGACAAACATTATATTCTCCCACCTCTATGAGCAGCCAAAGTCATTGAAAGGGGAAGTAGACCCCAGGTTGTCAAGGCTAGAGAGTTAAGGGTAGGGAGCTGTTGGTTAATGGGTACAGAATTTCAGTTTTACAAGATGAAACGTGTCCTTGAGATAGTTGGTACTGAAGGTTGTACAACAATGAAAATGTACTTAATTCAGAGAAACATTCAAACTGATTAAGATTGTAAATATTATGTGTATTTTGGGCCCTCCCTGGTGGTGCAGCAGGTTAAAGCACAGCACTAAGAAGCTAAAGCCACTTCGGCATGAGTTCTATTCCCACCCAGGAGGTGACCCACATGGCATGCCAGACCTTTCCTGACCCGCCTGCTGCTCCCCTCAGCAGTACACTTTGATGATCTGCCTGTTCTGCTCCTCACTTTGTCTCTGGTGAAGCCTCTCACCGCCCCTGTACCTCTGGCCTGTATCCCAGTTCTGTATACACAAATAAATAAATCTTTTTTTTTAAAGATTTATAAATCTTTTTTTTTTAAAGATTTATTTATTTGTGTATACAGAACTGGGATACAAGCCAGAGGCTCAGGGGTGGTAAAAGGCTTCACCAGAGACAGAGCAGGGAACAGAATAAGCAGATCAATGAAGTACACTGTTGAGGGGAGCAGCGGGCAGGTCAGGAGAGGTCTGCCGTGCCATGTGGTCACCTCCGGGGCAGGCGGGGATCAAACTCATGCGGAAGCAGCTTTAGATTCTCAGTGCTGTGCTTTAACCTGCTGTGCCACCCAGGCCCAATAAATAAATCTTAAAAAAAAAAAAATTACATGTATTTAACAACCAAGAAAATGAGAGGAAAAAAAAAAAAGAATGGAGTATTGATACATTGATACATGCTATGAGAGAATCTTGAAAACATAAAGTGAAATGAGTTGGGCATAAAAGTACAAATATTATGAGTCCACATTTATAAGGGACCAAAAATAAGCAGATTCATGGGGTTGGAGAGCAGAATGGCATATAGGGAAGAAGATAGTGCTTAATGGATACAATTTGTGTTTAAGACAACAAAACATTTCCCAAAATGGATAGTAGTGGTGGATGCACACAAATAATGTCCTTAACACTTAGAGTGGTTAAAATATCTCAGACTTCTTCAGCAAGGCATTTGAGGCCTATCCCAGAAGAGAGCTGCCTGCAATCTGGACCTTTAACCTATTTAGCCACTCTCAAAAGATGTGATCTTCAGCAATTCACATAACTTTTCTGAGGTTCCCTTTCCTTATTTACAAAGCAAATGAGCTGAACTTGCACTCAAAAATCACTGCCAGCTTCTAATACTTCATGAAGTATCTTCTGGCCTGTATCCCTTTTCCAGCCATTTGCACAAACTGATTGCTGTTTGCAAAAATGTAATAACCTTTTCATATCTCCAATTCTCATGCCCCTTGGGCATGGAACACAATAATGGTAAGAGCACAGCACATGGAGTCAGATGTCTTCTTGCTACCTAGTACTGTTCACAGGAGCTGTGGCCTGGAACAGCATGGTAACCAAAGCCTATCTTTCCCACTTGTAAATTACAGATGACAAAAGCTGCACCATAAGGCTATTATAAGGATTAAATAAGGTTAAACAGGTAAAGTGTTTGGCTCAATGCCTGGCACTTAGCAGGCACCCAAGAAATGCCAACTGTTACTATCACTGTAATTCTTTCCAGAGCTTGCGCCACAAGCTTCTTACTAACCTTGAGACCTTATTGATGTGTAATTTCTTCCAGGTTGCATTCATTGACCCTTCCCCAAATGCTTTACAAGTCTTCCTGACCAGTTGGAGGACCTCTTTAAGTTCACGATGATGTACCAATTTGCTTTTCTTCTTGTACTTGTTCCTTGAGCAAAAGCTATTTCTCTTTCATTTTTGAACTGTATTCTACAATGTTTCTCCAACTGGCCCAGGGCACTAACACACTAATTCCTTGGTCCTATCCCAAACTCAGGGAAGGAGCTTAGAAATTTGTTTTCTCACTAGCAACCTACCTCAGTCTTATTAGCCAAAGAACTTGGCTATCTAGGGACCTAGAACAGAGCCTGCCACAAAGTAGATGTAAATCGATTTTGTTATTCTACATAGCAAATATCTGACTGCCTCTATCTCCCCTCAGAAATAAAAAACAAAACATAGAATGCACCATAAGTTACCCCTAAACATATATCAGCTTAAAACAGCAAACATGAATTATTTCACAGTTTCTGAGGAATCTGGAAACAACTTAAGTGGGTGGTTCCAAGCTCAAAGTGTCATAAGACTGGAGGCAAGCCATCAGCCAGGACTGCAGTGTCCTCTGGAGGCTGAACTAGGTGGAGGGAGGGTAGGGTGGGATGGGCTGGGAGATGGGGAGGATTTCCCCCTAAATTCACTTATAAGATTGTGTCAGCCTCAGTTTCTCACTGTTTATTGCAGAAGATTTCAGTGCTGCATCTTCATATGGATCTAGCTATATATGTTGCTTAAGTGACCAAACAATTGACCTCCTCCATTTCTATGTATTATTCAACACACACACACACACACGCACACGGAGAGAAAGAAATATCCCAGACAATGTGGAAAGGGATCACATAAGTATGTGAATGGCAAGAAAGAGAGGTCACTGGGCTGATTTGGCAACTATTTTGAGTGCTGGCTGCCATATAGAACTTAGAAGCCCCCTTTACCTTTCACAGACCTGGAATGGTACTTGCATTTAGTTACAGTGAAGTTTTTGACCTTCAATGTAGGGAAATGCTGGGTGACTTGTGGAGTCAGAGTCAGGTAGGCATAACTGGGAATGAGTACTTCACCGAGGTCCTCTTGGGGGAAATAACAACTGGGCAGATCCCGTTAGAGACTCTGAAAGATGTGGTCCTTCTATATCGATTTCTATCAAAAGTTTCAGGAGAGGCCCTCCCTGGTAACACAACGGGTTAAAGCACAGCATTAAGAAGCTAAAAACCACTTCTGCATGAGTTCAATCCCCGCCTGCCCCGAAGGTGACCACATGGCGTGGCAGACCTCTCCTGACCCGCTCGCTGCTCCCCTCAGCGGTGTACTTCATCGATCTGCTGTTCTGCTCCCCACTCTGTCTCTGGCTTGTACCCCAGTTCTGTATGCACAAATAAATAATTCTTAAAAACAAAAAGTTTCAGGAGAGTCCCTCTTTATTTCAGAAGCAGACACCTATCGAGGCCCTATCAAAAGTCCACCCAGTTGGGATATTAAATCTATCTCTGTTAAGTTAAAACAGGATGTCTTTCTTAGCTTAGAGAAAACCTGAAACTAAAAATGTGGGGTTACTGAAAAAAAAAAAGGAAGGAAATGAAAGAATTAAAAATAAAATCTAGAATACCAATGATGTAAATTTTGTTGAACAAAAAATGTGTAGCCCCATGGACGTCAACAAACAAAGTTGTCTTGTTATTAAATCCCATTGCCACAGGGGCAGAGGTATCTTGCCTCATCCTACCAAAAATGAAAGTCACTATCCCAGGGAGTCCTTACCAAAAAAGATTAAAAGAACTCTTTTGGAGAGCACTTTCTTTAGAAGAGTCCCTCAGCCCTAAATTATGTGCTTGGGTTATTTTTGGAGTTTTTTCTTTCCTTTTCTACCAGCAAGAATTACCCTAGTAGCCCTTTGAATTCTTATATCTTCATTATTTTATTGCATAATTATACCCTTTG